GAAGGATTGAGTTTTCTACCAACTATAAAATACAGTTTTAGGACACCTGAGTGTAGTTTTAATACAATGAACAGATTGGGTCAGTGAATAAACATGCATTAAGCTGTACAATTCATACTTCCCGAACTCCAGTTGCAAGTACTCTGCATACCTAAATTCCCATGAAAACATTTTAACTGAAGAAAGGGGGCACAGTATGATTTTTCCTGAGATTCTCTGCCTGATTTTATTTTATTGTTTGAGGAAATCCATTTTCCTTGAAGTCAGCATTCTCAAGAATGTGCCTGATGCATCATTTCTCACTTCCCTGACTAAGACCAGCCCAGTGTTCCAGCCCAGCACTTGGGTAGGGGTAGCACTTGGGATTATATATAATGAGTTGGTACCCTAAGAGTGTTGGAAACAGAATTATTTGTCCTGGATTAGGTAAGAGCAGGATTTGCCTCTGTGAGAGAAGTGAGATGAGATGAGAAGCTGAGATGGTTTATTTCAAAACAAGTGCCTTGAGTATGTTTTCTTCTCCATCAGACATCAGATTTAACTTAACCCTAGACAGCCGGACAATTACTTAATTTCATGGTTGCCTTAGACTTCACTGCCTTTCTGGACACAGAGAAAACAAGTGTGAAGTGGTAAATGGAAGCTAAATGGTCCTTTTCTGGTTGGGGTGGTGGACAAGAGGACTGTGGCTGAGAGGATGTGGTCAAGATTCCTGGGGAGTCACAGAATGACACTCTGGGTCAGTGCCAGCAGGGGAAGAAGTGTCCCCACACAGTGACCTGTGGAGGCAGTGAAGCATCTTGAGTAACAAGAACCGGAGACAGACCATCATCTCCAGGCTCTTCCCCAAATGTCTTCTCTGCAGCCTTTTAAGATCCGATGTGACAGTCAGAAGAAAATACCAAAGGTGTTTTCTTATGAGTGGAAGGTTTGATCTGGAGGACATTCAGGGAACTCTTTAGAAAGCAGTAATAGTTAAAAGGTCTGAGATCCATTGTTTCCAAATCATGTTGTTACCAAATTGAACTTTGATCCACTCCCCTGCCAAGCAGCAAAGCCAAGCTATTGACACTGGGTTGTAGTGAAGGGAAGTACAGTGTTTATTGCAGGACCCAGCAAGGAGAACAGGCAGCTCATGCTCAAAAGACCCAAACTCCCCGATGGCTTTCAGGGAAGGGTTTTTAAAGGCAACATCCGGGATGAGGGCTGTAGGGTGCATGACTTTCTTCTGATTGGTTGGTGATGAGTTAACAGGATGGTGTTTCAGGAATCTCAATCATCAACCTTCCGGTTCCAATCAGTCTGGAGTCATGTAGTCACCATCCTCCATCTGGGTAGGGGTCTTTGTTCCTGCAGAACAACTCGAAGACAAGTTGTCAGAGTGCTATGTATATGCTTTGAGGAGAAACTAGGATTCTGTTTTATTCCTGAACTATTGTCATTACTTTTCTTGCTCAAACTGCTTTTCCTTTATTTCTGCATTCCTTCACTTCCCTAATTAATAACTGCTTGACTTGGCTTTTTTGGAATTCACAGAATGCCTAGGAGACTAAAGCCATTTTCTACAAACAAGAAACAGGGAACACAGAGGGACCTTGTTACTCTGGAGGGCCCTGCAGGGTCCTGCTCACTTTCAGTATTACTTCAGATACTGCAGGTTGTGTTTCTGAAATAGCGAGGCTCAGGGTAGAAGTGCCCGAGCTTTCTGAATAGAGGTACCCTGACTTTTGAAACGCTCTTAACCAAAGCGAATTTGACTTTTCTGCATGTTCCCAGTGTTCTTCTCATTTCTCAGAAACCAATTTCAGGGATAAATAGTTATCTGTCAATTCCACTAGATTAAAGAAATGTAATATAATTGTATAATACTTCACTATTTCCCAATTCCTCTTCTTCTGCCTGAGATTGCTGAAGGAGAATTTACCGATGACATTAACTTGTTGATCTAAATCCTAGGCAACTTGGTTTCCAAATAAATCGACATTTATATTCTTTTCATGTGATACTGCAAATGTAGGTCTAATATTTATCATGGAAATAAGTATTTTATGCACATGGGTTTATTTCGGATTTCCTTTCTTCTCTTTGTTTCTTAGGCTATTTTATTATGATATTGCAGATTACTGCAGACTCTCTAGGGAAATTCTTTTCAGATTTAAGTATTTTCTATGACAACTTCTAAACCTGGTCAGAAATACTGGATGATGAAATATATAGATTTCAAGCTTGGCTTGGCATCAGTGTGAATGTGAAGCTCCATGAATATATCTTTTATACTAGTTAAAAACCAACACTAACAAAGTTAGCTTTAAAATGTACATTAATTATTGGTTATAAACTGCTAAATTGTGAAAAAGATTGTTAAATTTGTCAGGTGGACTGCACAGCTGAATGCCAGTCATAGTAATAATAATAATTCTGTGAAGAGAAAGAAAACTACCACGTGATATTGCTTACATGTGGAATCTAAAAAAAAGGACACAAATGAACTTATCTACAAAACAGAAACAGACTCACAAACAGAGAACAAAATTATACTTATCAGAGTGTAAAGGGGGTGGGAG